CTGATGTCATTCGCAGCGTTGGCGAACATACCTCGACTTTTTATAAGTTGAACTGATTTATCGGTGAAAAATTCTAACCGTACCTAGGTGGATTTTGATACATAGATCAATAAGGCATAATTTCCGTTTTGTTTGTGTGTGGGTGCGAATAGTGTGCTTAACATGTTTCCGCATTGTTTACGCCTCAAATTGTAAGCTAAAAGCAGAAACGTTTAACTAGGAAATATATTCTTTCGGAAATGTCCACCGAACGGTTGGCATGCTTGGACAGCGCGCCTTATTTCCTACAGAAAATTCACCGGCCTGCCGCTATTCCAGCAAATTTCACATCAACTGCTGTGAAAAGGAAAGCTACGTAATTTATCGCGCTCTTTTATCTTACAGGTTCTTAAATTCTTCAAAGTGGTTACTTTTTAAAGCTTCGTATCTAATGTCGGTTTACCTTTGAGAATGGGATACGTGCGGGTACCGAACAATCGTAGAGTGGAGGCATGCTTTGGAAAGTGGCTGCGCAAACTGGTGAACCGTGAACACAATCAAATGCATCTGGTTAGTGACACTCTAGTTTTGTTTTTTGCTTCGAAAAAATTTCGAACAATAATGGTAAACTAAGAAGAATATGAATGTAATTGAATAAATAAAACCCAATTCATTAGACTCAGAATCAGAACAAATAAAATAACATTTCGCTGTGGGCAATTCTCCGCAGAATAATCTGCCATAGATAGTTCTGGCCTTTGGACGTTTTGACGACCGAGCATTCAGTTTTGGGAAATTGGCGCAGCACTTTATCGCTCAACTACACTAGCGCTGCGGATTCATCCTAGCACCGGGAATCCAGAAATACAGGTTGGTCACGCCAAGTGTGGGCAGTTACATAAAATAAATTATAAAATAGTTCTATTGATCGTTCTGCTTTTACATTCTTAACATTGTTTGTGTAACTTTTTATTACGGATCCAGAAATGTTAAAACCGGTACGTTCTGGAATGCCAGTAGCGAGCCAAGGGGATTTTGGGGATGGGGTGGTGGTCGGATTTTGGGCGCTTATAACTGCCCCCATAAACAATTCACCGACAGACATTTTTTCGTGTGGGATTTTGCAAACTATTAAGGGATCCAAAAGGTGTTCGTTACAAGTTAGCAAAAAAATCGTACTCTACCCGAGCCCGCGGTAGCCACGGAATAAGTTGTCTTTCCCATAGACTTGTATGTAATAAAGCATCTTAAGAACAATAGGGCTGCCTAGCGCACATAATGTGGTAACCTCGAACTGATACTTTCCATGCATGAGACATGGATAACATCGTACAAATTTAACATTTTGCCTAAAATCTATCGCGTAGGCGGGGAGATAGTTGTGCCGAATAAGTTGAACAAAAAACCGACAAAGCTGGAGATAAAAAAGTTGTAGCTGCTGTTTACATCTGGAAACGGAATATCATGGGCTTGCTGTGATGATAAAAAATCTTTAATTGACGCTCAGGGTTTCTTAAACAAGGTTTTTTTCAAAAACATTCACATAAGGCACCCTGCGACTGTACGGCGAGCAAGCAACGGAGGTCACCCTCCAGTTTTTGGGTGTTTACAGTCAGGCTGCAAAGGTCACAAACGCCTGATTGAAATCGGTTGGGGTATAGACTTATTCGCAGAAGGACTGAATGGCAAACAGTTTAGTGCTATTGTTTGTAGACTATAATATCGACAGAATTTTTAGGCAAATTTTTAAATGGGCAAGAACAAACAAGTTCGATGCGTCGAACCGCTTTTTTCAGCTGGTCTGTTCTAGTTTTTCTTCAACTATAATCCGGAGAGCACTCTCTCACCATGGAAACCTGAAGTGCAAAAGACGTTGGACACACACAGGGATCATATAAACATTTGATAAGTTTTTGTTTGGTGGTAGATGATTTATGGGAAATTTTATGAGAAACTTCCCACACTTGGCGTGACCACCCTGTATTTGTTTAATGACAGCGGGACATCAAAACTGACAAAAACCATTGGCGCCTCGGGAAACAACCAAACAAAGAAAACAATTCGACTAAGCCAGAGTATTAGTAAAGCCTTTTATTCCGATTAATACACACTCAATGGTGGCGATCGAGGAAAGCGGCTTTTGGTAGCAGTAGCACTGTAACTCTATGGAGTTGCGATGCTGCAAAAATTGCTTAGCAGCGATTCAATTATTTTCTCCAACCCCTTTCAGAATTTGCTTGGGATTATGCCTACGACAATACTTCGCGAACGCGAGTCTCGCAGAAATTGTTGAATAAATGTACGAATGTTGCATGCTTGTTGCCCAAACTCACTACTTTCTTGCGCTGCAGTTATTGCTAATTAAGATATCAGAAAAAGTGCTGCAGGTTTTACAACAAGCCCAGTTTTTACGAATGCTGTTGTAAGTTTAAGAGGTATGGAAAGGAAGTTATAAGGTTCTTGTTAACTCTTTTGTTTTACATTTTTCAATATTTATTGATCATCATAAAAAAGGTATATTGAACTAACCTAAGTGCAGTCAGGTTAGTGCAGTTAGATTATTACTGAATATCATGAAATATAAAGGATTTGTTTCGAAACTCCTCTTTTCTGTCCTTCTTTCCTTACTTTTTCAGTTTTTTTTAAAACAGAAGCAAAAAAGAAAAGGCAGCGATCCTTGCGTTGTTTCTTAAAAATTGTGTACACTTTGGCCCACACGTTCGTCAGCGCCGCATTGCTGTCGCAGCCACTATTCAACGTCTTGCACCCCAAACTCACAGACGACCGCCAAGTATTTACGGTACACGTATTCTCTGTTTATTCTTCCTCGTTTGTAAACTGTTCATATCCTAACTCGTTTGTGCGGATTCACACTAATAAAATGTTATAAAATATTATTAATTCTACCGTTGAATAAAAATATTTTCTCTTGTTTAAGATATTGAACGAAGGGTATTGTGTTCTGAAGTGATATGATGCGTGATTTTTGGTGTCCCCATGCAGTGATTCAATGTTGCTTTACTTAGTAAACAGTAAGTAAACCGGCAGTAAACAGTAAACAGTAGCCTAATATTAAACAGTAAATAAACAGTAAAGTTTTTTTAGAACAGTAACAGTAAAAGTAAGTAAAGATTTCGGGCTGACAGTAAGCAGTAAGTAAACAGTAAAGGAAAATTGTTAGATTTGTTACTACGATTTTTATTGGAATTTACAGAGATTTCAACCGAAAATTGCTTGTTACCTTCGCGCTTCGCGCGAAATTTGTCTGCTTGTAGCGAAATTTATTGCCAAAATCCAAATGAACAAGACTGACGTGCAGTTGGTGCACGGCGCAGTGTGCTCTCATGCCGTGCACCGTGTAACTTTCCTTGGCTCCTTTCCTTTCCTTTTCTTGACTGAAATTTTTGGCTTGCAAAAAGTATTACTGGTTTACTTAGTAAAAGTAAACAGTAAATAAACAGTAAAGGTTTGGGCAGAAAAACAGTAACAGTAAAGTAAAACAAAAGTATGCGACAGTAAACAGTAAGTAAAGTTCCAAAACTGACAGTAAAGCAACACTGAGTGATTATCTTAGTAACCCGTTGAAAGGATACGGTGATAAAAATTGAAAGGATACGTCTCCGCGCGATGAAAATAAAGATGATGGCAGGCTCCTTGATCCAGAACCTATACTGTTTTTTTTTCAGAAACGGCAGCATTCTGCGCAAATCGGAATCGGCGTCGGCCGGCGGGACTTTTGTTTGCTTGATGTAGTGGTCGATGATCAGCGCCATCACCGGGATAAAACCGCACGTACCGCAGCAGAAATTCATTAACACGCCATCAAAGTGTGGGATATTTCCTACGCATATACAGAGTACCGTCTGTCTGTTTTTATATTTTAATTTGTTTTATTTTTAGAATAATTCCTAAGGTTTTACAATTTTAAATTTACCGTTCCTGATTACGTAAAGGCTGTGAGAAACTTACCAGGGCACATTTTCCGGGTGTAAATTCAGAAAAATCTCATCTCTTGTAAAGACAGTATACTACCGTAGTATGTCTAAAAAAATTAAATCAATGACTCTGAAATATTCTGTGCAACATGTGCACTGCAGTGCCCGCATGCACAAGTCTGAACTTCATTTATGAAAGATGTAAACCGCTTCCCGGTTTACGCTTTCTGGAGAGAAAAAATAAAATCTAAAACTAACAAAGAATATTGGAAAAAATTAAAGTAAACAACACTAAAACACTGTAAACATTAAAATAATTTAAAGAAAAAGGAAAAAAAAGTTTTTTATTCTCATGTTTTTGTATAATCTAGTGTTTTCTAGAGGAAAAATATGGACTATTAACAATTTGGCTAGAAAATCTTATGATAATAATTTAAAATGTGAGAAAAGTTCAAAATAAAAATTTACAAAATATCTATTTAAGATGTTCTTTAATCACAGCGGGAATTTTTACATCATAGTTTACAAAAATATAATTCAAATGAAAACAGAAATTTGAACGAATAAAATTACGACGACAGTCTTGGCGCCGATCACCAGCATCTCCGGCACAACCGCATTTATACCGGCACCGATATATCAACACCGCAGCAGCGGAAAAAGACTTTTTCATCCCAGGTTATTATTATTCAGGCTACCGTCAGCCGAATGATATTTTACCATAAATGTTGCATTTTATTCGCAGTCTTTGGCGTGCAAGAAAATATTGGGAATTCCGATGCAAATACAAACCGCACAAATTTCCCACGGTAGTAATGAGCTATAATCGTTCTGCTAACGCACGGTATATCTCGATAAGTACTGCTGACCGTGAAAAACGTCGCGCCTTTATTGTCATATAAACTTTAAAATTATACTCGTACACCGTCAAAGAAAAACGCTCCGGGTACATTGTAAAACGATAAAAAAAACCAACCGGTTGTAAAGGCAAATACACCATTCAAAAAATTAAAGCTTCCCATGTATATTATTTCTCTAAAAAAAATCTGTAAAATTACCGGGTAACGCCAAAATCACCGGCATAATAACACACTCAAAAAGCTTTCACAGAAACTGTGAAATACTTTAAATACCACACTCCACAAAGCATCCAAAGGCGCCAACGTTCACGGCCAGATGGCCCAGCCTTCCCTAGCGAAGTGGCTCGTGATGCCGACAATTAAGTCATCCTTCTTGTAGTTGCGTTTTCAGTGGGAAACAGGTTGTTGAATACGCAAAACTGCAAGGGAAAAAAGCCACAATCAAAAACCAAATCTGAATCCAGTAAACCGTTGAAAAAATACTAAGACCGGCAAATATTCTGTTTCTTCAGAAAGTTTAAAAAAACAGAAATCAATTAAGAAGGACAATAAAATAAACGGACCGTTAGAAAGCTAGAAAAAGCCTGTTGTAAAAAAACAGAAATAAAGCAAAATAAATTACAGATAGCAAATAACCGGGTGTTATAAAATTGAGAAAATATAACGGAAATTTAAATCATCAAATATATTGAAAGCGAAAATTGTGAAACAATTAAAAAGCAGAGAGCAACCTGCGCAGTCTAAACCAGAATATGATTAAAAAAATTAATGCTGAATTAAATCCGAAAAATAAATTGCATTTAATATTTATCTGGATTATAATTTGATCTGAATTAAAACATGAACTATAAAAATACTTTAACGTCGCTGCTTCTTTATTTCGATTCGTAAATATCACAACAATAACCAGACAAGACTGCTTCTAAAATTAAGTTAAGCTAAAAATACATTAAAATACTGTGATGTATTTTTCTAATTAGTAATGTGTTTGGCTAATAAATAATTGCATCAAATTTTTTAACGATCGCTATTTAAGTAGGTAAAAATACAATTCAAAGTAAGAAAAGTAATTAAAAAAGCAGAATAAAAAAATTAGGAAAATGAAAAAAAATTTAATTAATTGATCTAAAAATCGGATAAAAACTGTATAAATACGAACACATAAGTAATGAGTGTTCAGCGATAAGCCGGTCGGCAATGCGTACCTGCTTCAGGATCGCCCGGGTGAACTTGTTCAGCGTCCCATCGATGGAAGCGCGCTTAATCTCCTCGATCGTGGGAATGGGCGCGGCGGGAAGGGGCGCGGCGGGAAGGGGCGCGGCGGGAATGGGAGCGGTGGCGGCGGGAACGGCAACGTCGCCCACCCGAGCCTTCTTCGCAGCCGCCTTGCGACCGCCGGACGCCGCGCGTTTCTCGGGCTGCGCCTCCGCCGGGTCGTGCGGCACATACCCCGGGGGATAGACCAGTCCCGCAAACTCCCGCATCAGCGCACCGGCCCGCTCTCCTGCTCATCGACCCGTGGCCAGGTCTGGTCCATCAACCGGTCCTTCTCAAGCCGCTGCTCCGCCGTTTCCTTCTCCACTTTCTCCTTCAGCGCCACGGACTCCACCGTGCGACGGTGCTTGATCAACACCGGGTTGTACGTGCTCTGGGGTTGGCAGGAGATATGGAGGCGCTTGACGTGCTCCTGCGGAAAAAAAAGCCGGGTTTAAACGCCGACGATGCGGTTAGGTTAACAAATAAATTACCATGTAATTCAAGTAGCCCGGATTAATCTCAAAATAATTATTCAAACGATGACTAAAAATAATTTATTGAAATTTAAAAAATAGATAAAATTTTTAATGTTTAAAAAAATAATCAATCGATAATCGCTGATTTCCAGCACAGTTCTGATTAATAATAATAATATCACATAATAATAAAACTAAAATGAACATTTCAATAAATATTATGAAAAAATGAAATATTCTTTTTGTGAGCACAGCTCGTCCGTCCCTGTACAAACTGAAAATGAAGTAATGTAGTAAATTAAAAAAAATAAATACTCGTACTAATTCAGTGACCAACGGTTTCCAGCAAAAGAGCATACAATTTACGTAAGTACAATTATTTACGCAGATACACAATATTATTTGAAAATTTTTTTTATCCTAAATATATCTTTCGGCAATGGCCTTTTTCACAGGATATAAGTCAGCGCTGGTGCACACTGAATAAAATGATAGAAATTTATTTAATATTTAATCACTTCTCAATACTAACACATGATAATACATAATAAGAATAAAATACAAAAATGAATATAATATTAAGAAGAAAATGAATAAATAATAAATTCTTATTGTGATCACTGCTCATCCATATACGTATTGAGAATAATGTACAATGGACTTCATAAATGTGGTTACACTTAAAGCCGATAGCGCTATGCATACGGGTGGCTACGTGTAACCACATTTATGAAGTCCACTGTAATGTAGTAATTTGAACAAAAACCTAAATACGTAAAATATTAAATACCTAGTTACGTAGTAAAATTAAAAATAACAATTTTTGGTAGAAACATTGTAGCATTAATCACGTCTACAGAAAGGATTTACTCGCTTCACATGCTAAATGCAAGGCATGCACGCTCGGGAAAATCAATAAACCGCCGCACTCGTTAGCCACTGTACTACGATTTCCCCGCTTTTCCCTCGTCGGCAGGACGACCGCGCACACACCGCAAAAATCCTTACCGTGGCTTTTTCCACCGCCGTCGCACTGGCCGTCGGCCGGTTGTACTCCAGCGCCACCCTCTCCCTCAGATCATCGGCAAACGGCTGGAAGACGATGAGGAACCCGCTGGGCGTGGTCTGCTTCCCGTTCGCGTCGCGCTGCGTATCCTGCGGCACCAACGCCACCAACTGCGGCGGCTCACGAGGGCGCGGAATGTAGCGGCACAGTGCCATGACTTGCTTCTCCAGGCACTTGATCAGCAGCGCCGCGAACAGCTTCGTTGATCCCCGCATGGCCACTTCGTTGGGGTACAGGAAGTGGGCGGCGCGGAAGTGGAAGACGGGGTCCAGATGCTTCAGGGCTTTGAAGCAAATAATCCAGAAGCCGGGCGGCCCGAAGCATTTCAGCTGTTCCATTTCATGCGCGGTGAAGTACAGCTGGCGGTTGTCGTAGGTGAGGAAGTGCTTCACAGCGCTCGGCAGCAGCACGTCCTGCTTCTCCATATCCACGCACAGCCGTTGTGTTTTTACCTGCAATACACGTGAAAACCTAGATAATTCTCAATATTTATCATTTCTATATCATCTACAGTTTTCTGCTTTATGAATTTTCTGTAAAAATACAGCACTCATACTAAAAAATACGCTGAAAATTTTCTTATATAAAAAAATAATATATTAATCTTTTAAAATAATGTTACTAAAAATTTTGCATAAACATAAACTTACGCTGAAAAGTTTCATGCAAATGAAACTTTTTGCAGTTTTGTTTCATGCAAATGATGCAATACAGGTACATAACATATCGAAAACAGTTAATCACAGCAACAACATTTCATTTACCGTCAGTCAAATTTGGAAAAATCAAAATGAATACGGAAAAATTAATGTCGAACATATTTCGCAAAAAACGAATGTTTTTTTTTAACCGGAACTAGCTCTAAATATTGTTGCCACGCTTTTCAAATTCAAAAGGAATTTAATTTTTTTTTAAATAAACGACCACTTCAACATCAAACATGCAAGTTAAAAAAGCTATATTCACGCGAGACATATTGGCTAATAAAATGGTTATTATGGCCAGTTGCGTACTTCTTCGTGCGTGTGTTTGGAGAGTTTGACGGGGATGGGACGCTTGGCTTCGCGCGTGAGACTGTACACCGACACGGCGCACTCCAGTCCGTCGCCGAAGGACAGCGTGAGGCGGGCCACGTGCCGGGTGTCGGCGTCCTTGATGCGGATGGGCGCCTCCAGATCCCGCCAATCGCCCAGGCCGCTGCGCCCGACCGCCATCCCCTCCTCGCCGTTGCCCTGGACGATGCCCTGCCAGAAGAGCTGCATGTTGAACTGCCCGGCTGGTTCGACGCGCACCAACGGGAAAATGATCGTTTCGATTTTGTATGCCATGGCATCGAATGCTTTCTGGCGAGCAAAGGCTGTGGCTCTGTTTCAAAGAAAAATTGCATCCGTAATAAATTATGACCAAATTAAATCTATGATTATTATTCACTCATTGAAAATACATTATCACACAAACTATGGAATAAAAATTCAAAAAAAATAAATATAAATTAATTGCAGTCAATTCAGTAATTTTATGGTGATAGCTACAGTTACAGCGGACAACTCGTGTCAGCTTGTCCGGTTTGGAAATGGTCGTGTTAGCCCTGTGGAGAGCATGTAAGTACTTTGTACTCCTATTTATCAAATTAACATTTACTGAACTTATTAATAACATTATTAGCTATTAACAGCGCAATTATTTCAACTGAATGGCCAAATCAACTTGCCAATGACCGACAATAATTATCACGAAATATACGAGTACTGTATTAGTCACCGGACGGTTCAACAGCGGAAAAAAATTATGCTACTTTTAGAAATACTCTTATTTGTGGATTAAATAAAATAAAAAAAACACTAAAGTGACATTTCCTACGGAAATAGCTCCGTCAGGCCTGGATGGGAAAGGGAAATAATCGGGATAAACGGGAACTGGATACAAACCACATGGAATACTTCTATAATTATTAGGCTACTAGTAGACCCCGCGCAAATTGCGCGGAATAAATAAAGAGATGAATAATTCAATGCAAAAAATACCTGTTTTCAACTACTATTAATATCAAGAAATCACAGAATTATTATGTTATTGTTATTATAATGTCACCGGACTGCCAAGGCAACCCTTAACAGGACTCATGAGCCTATGGAAATTTTCATATTTTCTTTCTGGAAATGGACCGGCTTTCGGCTTAGCTTTACAGAAGGAATCCTGCGAACCATAAAAATAAACAACTAATTAACTACTCGTATCATTCAAAATTTCAGATTTTAAGCCAAGTTGCAAAATAGTAGCTCTGTAGTTTAAACACATATAACTTATCTAGCTGCTCATTTTTGCCATCGAGAATCGCGCGCTCAGCCGCTCTGTTTCGAATATCAGTGTACAGATACCATTAGGCATTAACCCTGCAAGTTGCAGTGGCACTGACTGAATAAATTAAACACTGTTGCTTGACAATGAAATTACCAAAAAAATTTTCGATTTTCAGTTGGTTTTCTGTTGCTTTGCATTCACAACGCAACTGACGGTAAATTACTTACTTTTTACAAAACATACATAAACAGCCATTTTGAGATGTTGTAATATTTCTTATTTTTCTTTCTTCGCTCGTTTAGTCGGAGATGTAAAGTAGGTTGCCTCGTTTGCTGTTCCGCGAGCTCCGCTCGCGCCGCAGCTCGGCGTCGCCTGCGGCTCCGCCTTCTATAAAGAACTAACGAAATTATTCAAGTTTCGCAAAATCTCTCGTTTTCAACAATGAAGCATTCTCCCTGGATGACGCGCTAACGATCGCTAAGCAATCACTCAAATAAAAAGCTTTCTAGCTATATAGATTTGATGCAGTTAATACAAATTAACTAAGCTCATGTGGGATATGCAGCTGCCAGCTTGCTGTCCCTAAACCCTAAACATGCAACAATTTATCATCAACCCTAAACATGCAGTACCACTTTTTTTGGACATCATTTTTCCACAGATAACAAATTAAGAGTACTCGGGACCTGCGACTCGCAAGTCGCAGGTCATCGCAAATTGTTGCCTCAATGGCATATCAGTAGGGCAATGGCAACCGCCCATGGAAACGTTGCAACTTTAACTGGCCGAACCACTACGAACGGCAGCTCCTTGAGAAAAAGTTTTGCAGTTCCATACTCACAGGCTTTGTTAGGTCTTCTTTTCTACATCTCACTTTTTCCGACGGCATTTGCTTATGGAAAATTTATAATTTCAAGAATCAAGGCCACGAAATAATACGTTGTCATGATTCAAGAACTTTCAACCCATCCCAGCAAAGTTGGTCGAAAGACTCGAAACGCGTTTTAGGCTTTTAGCTGTTGAGGCAGTGGTGGGATGGTCGGTTTTGCAGTGGTGGATTCTCAACTTTTCCGATTGGCTTTCTATGTTAAAGTTTTTTGAAATTCTCCTTCAAACGTTTGTTTCTGTTTAAAAGCTGACTTGCGATGGCAAATCTACCCAGTAAGGGCTATCGAACGACACGTAGACATGGAAGTTTGATTCAGTGGATCGGGCTGGCGAACTCGACAGAGTGGGAATTTCGTTAAGGCTTACGCGATTATTATATAGTGATTAGCCCAACCACATTCTAGCGATAGCTATGCTGACTATGCAGTAATAAGCAGTATGCCCGTATTAACTGGCATACCGTAAACCACACCCCTAACTTGTGCCAATCACAGGGGTGTAACATTTTGGTTACAGATTTACCCATAGACCGTGCAAGAAACAAGCCGTATACACTCTTATACAGAAAGTCTCACTTTCTGTTTTTATTATAGTGTATAGGTCCTGCAACGGTGTGCAGGCCTGACGGAAAATATGTACATCGCAGATTAAAATTACAGTTGAATATGGGAATTTTGCTCTCTTTTTAATTTCGGTTATCTACGAGATATTTCCAAAAACATTTTGGCAAAATTTTAAGACTTGGTGTCTCAAGTTTTACGCAAGTGGCGGCAAAATATCACAAAAGCAAGAAAAAAAAACAGGAAACAAGAGCGGTGCCACACGAATACAGCATCTGCGATCATTTTTCCATAAATCATCTTGAAATTAGAAAACTAAAATTTAAAAAAATTCAAGATTTCCCTAACTTTATACAATTTTTAATATTTATTTTTTTATATTATTATTTTAATTTTTATATTTATATTGCAATGTATATTCAATTTTATTCTTTAAAAATGAAGTTATTTCTAAATCGCAGTTAGATCTACGTTATACAGAATATAAAAATAATTTGCTTGAATAAAATCAGAGTAGAATATAAAATAATGGAAAAATAAAACAGAATATAAAACTAATTTGCTTGAATAAAATCAGACTAGAATGTAAAAATAATAGAAAAATGTACAGATTATAAAAATAATTTACTGGGATAAAATCCGACAGAATAAGTTACGAAACACATTAGGAGACTGGCATATGGCCGCTGCTCGACTTACTTCTTATCTTTCCCGTGCGGATTGTCGTTGGCGGTGAAGATACAAATCTGCTTGCGCGCCAGCTTAACGGGGGCATGGACAAACAAGGAGTTACACGCCCACAGCACATCCCCCACGGCGCACTTCTCCACACACCCATACTCCGCTGTCAGCTGCTGCGCACTGCTGGCCAGCAGTTGATCAATCTTCAGCACGGTCTCCACGCCCGGCTCCCGCAGTTCCTCGTGCACGACGATGTGCGGGAAGCGGGTCCCCGCCGACTGGCTGGTATTGTACAGCAGGATCCCCGCGAGACTATGATCCTGTGCGAAGATGCGGTGGCGAATGGCGGTGCGGACGGCGTGGAGGGACAGGCGCAGCGCGGACTGCGACGGCGTCTCAGGGGCCTGCCCCGCGCGGGTGGCCAGGGCGTGCATGGGCCGGGACAGGTCGATGACGAAGAGAATCGCGTCACGACGGCCGACGGCAGCGTCTTTCATGACTGGATCGTCGTCGGGCAGGGTGGCGCCCCATGCGAAATCCCCCGGGGGGCTACTGCGCCCATCGTCTGATTCCGCAGCGTTGGCCATGCTACACCACCATAAAAATACACGGGAAAGAATGTCCGACTTATCCGCAGCGGAGTAAAAATAGAAAAAATAAAATTCCTAATCCAGCTGCACGAGACTAGTCAGACTACAGTTCAAAAAATAAAAAAATGAGCGTGCCTGACAAGACGTGAGTTTGCTAACTTTGCTTTCACGGAGTACGCGTCTGACAACAGCCAAGCGAAAATCCTACTGACAGCCGTCCGAGCGGTGGTCGCCATGAAGACCACGCCTCTTTCCGGTGTACGGCGCAATTTTCAATACATTTTATGAAATCCCATTTCTGAATTTGTTGATTTTGATTTTAATTGCAGTCTGTAGCATTCGCCATTTTCTTTTTCATATAAATAATAAATTAATAATAATTTCTGCCATGTGCCGCGTACCCGTCGCTGTAATTTGAAAGTTAGATGGCGAAATAAATCTTTCTATTTGTCTTACTCCAACTGTTAATTATTTTGACTGCCAATGCGGCAAGCAAAACCGTTTAGCAAATGTGGTACGTAACGCTCATAAGCGTTCTCCTCAATTATGATCTGTATTCCTGTGAAATTCAACTTTCTATCTAGTCTCATTTATGATTCAAAGAAATATCAAAGCTGAAAATTATAAATGATGAAAATTCAAGAACTTCCGGCGCTTGACGCAATCACAACCGCCCGCTGTGGCAGCGCAACACAGTTTTCATCTTCCAAAACTTTGAAAAATTCACATTTCTTTTCTTTTTAATTCCTCTCACAAAACGTCCTTTTTCTGTCTTCCTTTTGTTACAAAAATTAAGAATAAGTAGTGAGTAATCCTTTTAAGCAAAAAATTTATTGAAATGGAATAGTGAGGAATTATTTTAAGACTGGAACCCTAGTGGCGCGAAATCGGCCTGTCTGCCGTTCTTCGACGGCAGCATCTCCATCGTGCAGCGCCACGACATTCAGCAGATACGTTAACACGCGCTACCACACACAAAATAAAAGATAAAATACAGTATTTTATCTTTTATTTTCTATACTGTGTTAAATTTTAATACTTCGTTTGCGTTCATGTTGAAGGTGTTGCTGAGCGATTTTATCGCCATCGAACGGACAGTGGTCATCCTGAACGCAGCCGGCAGTCAGATCATCGAGTAGAGCGACTAGGCGGCGAGGCTGCCGCGTCTACGTACGTCTGCGCTGCTGGACGACATGGATCTCAAGTGGCAGAAGTTGCTACCCTTAAGGCCGATATTAAGCGAACTTTCCTCGAAGAGCAGCTCAAAGAGCAGGAGTTTTTAATATATTTGTACTGTACTAATTTGGTTGGGATGTTATTTCTATTTAGTAATACTGATACTGTGATACACGAGGCCGTATGGTTGAATTTTGGCAGCGGAGTCGTTCCAAGACAAAATCCATGATCTGTGGAACTGGCTGGCCTACAAGAATCGATCAGCGTCGGAATGCGTCGCGCCCGGCGGGTGGACTGCCGCAGACGGCCAAAGACCAGCTTGTCCAGTTCCATGGTAGGTACAACGAGCTGTCCGGATCGCCCTGCAAAGAAAGTGCGATGTGGATACCAACAAAGGTTACAAAGCCGTGATATTTTGTAATTAGAAGAAGTTTGTACAATTATTTTCACAAACTTGTAAGTAATTTTAAAACTTGTTGTTAATTAGTTTTTAAAAAATTGTAAATTAATGAAATCCTCACAAATTGTTCTGGGCTTGGCGATTTTTTAAATTTTTTGTAATAGCTACCTCGGAAAATGCTATAGAATGTATTGATTAGTGAGACCTCCGTCATTTGCGTAGATCCGCGAGAAGCGGGAGTCTGGAGGCGCGGGAGTCTGGAGACGAACAGCGAGCCCATAACCGCCTTGTAGGAGGCGGCATGGGACATTGGCACACCGATTCCCACCTGACAGGCCAGCAACGGTCGCAGGGGGCCTTCGCAGCCGTCCTCCCGCTCGGTCAGTCAGCGCAACAGCCACGCCCACTCCCCGGAACGGCTCCAACAGCCACAACACCAACAGCAACCACTCACGCTTCTCCAGCTCTCCGACGTGTGCAAACCGGTCCCGGTCTCCCAGCAGCGCCCCCGAGATCCCCTCGCGGTCCACCAGCGACGCCAGCGGCAAGACGCAAGACACACTCAACCGGCATCCCGCAAACGCTGACGGATGTTCCGCTGCAATCGGAAATGGAAGATTTGCACACCCGGAATCCAGTTGTGCGATGACTGCTTGCCTTCCGTGGGAAACGGGAAAGTGCCGTGTTTCTTTTTGATTGTTGGTCTTAGACTAGTTGTGTTTGCGTATTTCAGTTTTTTGCTTGGTTTTGTGTTTCTTTGTAAGTATCTCAACCCGGTAATTACGGGGTTGTCTGACGGCGGTTGTGCTTCTCCGAAGCTACGATAATTTACCGTAATTAGGTATCTGTACAGTGGGCGTCAAAATTGTCTTACATTCGGTCCGAGACCGAATGACCAATAACAAACAAACTCTGCACTCGTCGTACACTCAGTGGTCAGCATTTCGATTGCACAGGGCGTACGAAAGGAAGGACGCATATTCCTACTCTAGGCACCGGAACCAGTCAACAGCAGATCCTTTCAGTTTTATATTTTTTATTCTGCTCTGCTGAAGCCAGAAATACGAAAACGTAGGACAAAAAATGCTTATTATTGCAACCTTATTATTACCGGAGTGTTTTCAATATGTAAATTAGGTACACGTCGATTACTACAAGCGAATCTGATACAGGAAGCCATCGCTCATGTTCCGCAAAAAAAGAAACAAAATTAATACTTTAAAAGTACTTAAACTAAAATACTGTACACAGGCGAAATGTAGGATGCAGTGTTCTAATTAAAACCGGCTTGAAATCTGTGAATGCATAAGTTCGATTCCGCTGAACGAACATCATCATTTTTATTTTACACTTTTTATAAACTTTCTTCTCTCGGACTCAAACACACCACTGTAGAGCAGGATCTTCCCCATTCCCCAAATAAAACCGGACTGATTTCCTCATACAAAGCTGGTGTTCGAAGGCGTCAAACAGAAAATCCATAATTAAAACCGGACAGCAACGAAAATTAAACAGAGCACATAAAACTCGTAAAAAAGACACTAGAAAAAAACGTCAGGTAAATTGAGATTTTCGTATAAGGACAAATAAACTATCTACTGTCCATCCATAAACTGAGATTTTCGTATAAGATGTCCACGAACTCAACCAGCTTACACATCACGAGGTACGAATATTTGTCCAGTAGCAGATCCCCCAGCGTATCGTAGCAGTCAGCATCCGAATCCGTCACCAGAACAGACTACAATACAGAAATAACAATTTAACAGGAAGCCACTATTCCTTGAGCCTTGAACAATTAGTCCATCGGATAAATAAATTTTACTAATTACATTTTAATTCCCATTGAATTTTCATGACTATGGCTCAAGAAAATGTCGAATTTTATTATAAATCTAAGATCGGAAAGAACTGTATGTATGTACGCCATTGTACGGTATTAGCCTATTTCAGATTGCATACGGTAGAGGCTCCGTACATCGAATCGCACGGCGTCAGATAAGCAGTACGTTGGCAGGATGAAAACTGCTTCAGATCTTTGTGCGGTTACACTTTGGTCACGTACAGCAACGAAAAAATTAATCGAGTCGAGTGCGCGCGAGGACGTGACCACCCTGCTAACGGTCGGCGGTCTGAGTGCTCAAAAAAGATCCACGGGTAGCATACGCTGGCCTACCATTCACTCATGTGTTTGAGCCGTTGCAAGCATCCGCGTAAGGCAGATAGTTTTTACGCGTGACCTCACGACGCTAGGTTACAGCTGCTAACGTCGCGAACGGACGTAAAACAACCCGCAACCGAAGGTTCCACATGGAACCGGAGCCGAATGGAGCACAAACCGTGCAATCTGAAATAGGCTATTAATTTTACCCAACATCAACATGTGTAGTACCGGTACAGTACGTACCTCGCACAACTGGTCTATCTCATTCTGAAGCCATTGCCACTCCGTTTGGACTCTCGCGAAACTCGCGGACCCGTTCTCTCGGTCGCCACTGCGCTCCGAGCACGCAGTATGCATTTCCACAAGATTCCACAAATCCAATGGCGCCTCTCCATCGCTTCCAGGGTCCGCGCCAGCCAACGCCAGGCGGGTGGGCATCTTCATTTCCCAGCCGTGTCGCCGTTTATTGGGACCCACGTCCAACCAGCTGATGACATACCGATACGGTTCCAACAACAGGGTGCATTCGGGGCGGACGAACGAGATGGCCTTCAAGCGCAGCGCTCCGCAGCGGGACGCCAGGAATTTCATGACATGGTTCGTCTCCTTCACCCGCTCCTTATCGCTATCCAGAATCATTAGGCGCTGTGTGGCCGAATTCAGGCGGTGGACCAGGCAGGCGGTGAGGGGATAGTCGGCACGCTTTTCACTGCGGCGGGGAATGATGAGGAAGGAGGTCAGCACCGGCGACTGCAGGACGAGCGACCAGCTGCTGCACACGCGGTACAAGCGCGTCTGCTGCATAGTGTCCATGTGCGAGAAGACGTCCAGCAGCAATTCTACGGGCAAACGCAGTCGGTCTTCGTCATCCACGGGAAGAGTCAAGCGCGGTCGGTCTTCGTCGTTCACCGGAAGGCTCTCCGTGGCCAGGCGCAGCGTTTTATAGATCATCCCAGGGAGAGCCTTCATTAAGCGGTTAGCAAACCGATGGAAGCGCACCTGCACAAGCAGCACAAGCGCAAAACATTAATGCTGCAGTACTTACTACTCACCCATAAAAACTGAACGATAAACGCGTATAGGTAAAAAACATAGATCAGAAATAATATAATAATAATAATTTGTTTCCGCCTTGTAAAGGTACCTTCCGGCCATCCTTGCGCTTGCAGCACCATCCAAGGTCCAGTCGTTCAATATACATCCAGGTGCAGCCGTCATCCATGCGCTGAACAAACTGCAGCGGATAACCCACATATTCCTCCAGAAATACTTTGTCGCGCCACTCTTCGAGCAGACGCCACTGCATTTCCTCCGACAAGAGCGCCAGCTGTGCCGTCAAGCGAACGTGTCCCTTGAAAAACGTCCCCGGACGGATGGAGTGGAAGGCGAACTCAACCCCGTAATAGGCACGCAAATCCGCATCACTCCGCGGCCCGCTGGCGCTGGCAAGGCGGCTCCACGACTGGCGCAGCCGTTGGGGCGGGACAACGTGCAGGGGCCCCTCCGCCACGCCCTCCGCATTGAGTAACTGCACCACGCCCACCTCCCCCGGCCAGCCGCGTTCCAGGCGCTGCTTGAGTGAAAACTCAGCCGGCATCCATGTCCAGGGACCGCGGGAGTTGGGACGCAGCAGCACCTCCAATGTCCCTGTCGGGCGCTCAGCTGAACCCCATTCGTGCAGCGGCGTAAGCACTTTGAAGACACGGTCGAAGGGCGTCAATTCGCGTCGGCGATCGGGACAGAGAAAGTCGATAAAGAGTCCATCATCCGCGACGTCCACCACGCGACCAAAGCGCAGGTGACCGCTGGCATCCCAAGCGTCCACGCAGTCGCCTCGTAAGTGCATCTCAAAGTGGTCCATATTGTCTTCTATCTGTGACACGTACTTACGGGTACGCAGCTGCAAACGGAGGACAAAGTCAACATCACAAAGAGCTGTTCACAAGTTTACAAAATTTATAACTGCTTGCGAGAAACGCCACTTGCGGACTGCTGGACAACGACCCTACCTGTTCAACCATTTCGCCAATGTTGCAGTCTGAAATTTTGTTCACTCTTTCGAACGGAAAAAGGTAGAAATTCCGGATACGACACCACGTTAAGAAAGGAAAAAGGGAACACTTGATTATTGTAAAAACTGGAAAAAAAATCCTACATTCCACGCCAGAAAGTGCAGGAGAAAATTAATGATCAGGAATTTTTGGGACGAAGGGCAGTCGCCTGAGACAGGAGACCACTGCTGATTATACTACAATTTAATGCTGCGGTGGTCGTACGTACGTGCATCCGCGCTTGTCTGGTTGATGTGTCTCGCCGTACAACGGATAGTTCTCTCACTTCTCATTGGCTGCTAAGACTGAGCCGTTTGAGCCAGCTGGGAATGGCAGCGAAAGTCTGTGCCGATATCATTACAAAGTACTCACTTCAAAGCATTTACGAAGTGGTTCTTTTTCGACTATTTATACCGATACGGAGTACGGACAATTTAATATTTACCAGTCTCTAAAAGGGGATGAACGGCTAGTTCACCCCTGTGCGCAAACGGAAACGGAAACTGAACGCCACCACACTGCCCACTTTATCTCTCTCACATACGTACATCACATCAAAGGCATTCGCAGCACCTTGCTGCGGGGCAAAAAGGAAAAAGCATCCACCTCAAACGACGAAATCTAGCAACTAAAGAATCTACCAGATTTAGAAACTGGTAGATGGAGAAAAATACGGCAAAAACAGCAAAACAACCTAGCAGCCGCCTGTGCGCGGGTGAACGGAGAGGCCACTCCTCCTCACATGCCTGCGGGTGGAACCCATGAGGTCCTCCGAATGCACCGCGCGGCGTCGCGAACTCCCCTCCATGTCTTCCCGGGTGTCCTTGCTGCCCATTGGGGCTTTGAACCGCGGCACTCCAGTCCACATAGCCGATGCGCATCCTTCACACTGCAGGCGCAGGCCGTGCCCGCGGTCCTGGAAAGCTGACACATACGATGTTAGCACCTTCGCGTAAAAAATGTATCGGCTGACGTCACCGGTGCCCGTCTCAAGCCCGAAAAACATGGGCTTGAGAAAGAAGACGCTAGAGAAATTAGCACAACAAGATTGTATCTACGGTTACATTCAAAATGTGCAGAATTTCACCTTTGTTGGACAAGAAGCAAACGACAGAAAGCAGGCTGAAGTCCGTAAACCGCTAAGATGTCCATAGCGAAGCGGAAATTCTCAAATTTTTGGCCAGCTTAGCGGAACGTAGCTGCACTCAAATTTTGGAAAAAGTTTTTTTCAACTGCTGAGCGAAGCTTAGCGAAAATTTTTAAAGAAGGAAAATCAATTTTGTTTAAAAAATTTGAAGTAAACTTTCCGCAAGCGCACTTGTATGCAAGCAGAACCCAAAAAGCAGCCACGTTTCGCGCGAAGCGTGTCGCTGACGGGCAGATTTTCAAAAATAAATCAGAAATCGCAGTAAAAATGTTAGAAAATTGCAATAAATTCTTTGTAACCAGCGGGATTTTTAGCGAACTTGAACATTAGCAATAACTAAGCGAAAAGAAAGTTCCAAGACAATAGCGGAGCATAGCGAAGCTGGGTTCATTTAGGCTACAAACCTGCGCGGAGTTTGGCGAACCGCACAGTTAGCGGTCGCTGCGCTCCGTTATTTTAGCGGTTTACGAACTCAGTGAGTGTAAAGCAGCTCGCTGTAAAGCAGTTGGCAAGGAGTCTTCCACGTAACCGCTGCTCAGGGTGAGGGCGTATCTCTGACACAATCGCCCAGGCGGGCTCGACACGGCACAAGTCCTACCCTATTGATTAATCGTCACGAATCTCACGATCACGAATTTAATTGTGTTCTTGCTGAAGAATTAAAATCCATTTGGTTGTCTTGTAAAATTTAAATTATCTAGAAATTAGTGTCTGCGAATGCGCCTTTCTTTGCTGTGAAGGCAATTTCTTGCCAAATAAAAACAATCCCCTGACAGGTTGCAGGTGTGCAGCTATAAGGTGTGGACCTGGCAAGGTTCACACCGCAAGATCAGAACTGATGTCATTCTGCCTGCCAAAATACCTGGCAATGCTACAAAACGCCTACGCTACAGAAAGCGAGAAACGGCGAAATTGCTAGGAATTTACGTATAAAACACCGACTAAATTCGAAAGAATTTCCTCGTGGGTGTCACGGTGTATACTGTAACCGCCCATGGTGGTGATTAGCTATGGAAGTGCCCCTGTTAATGGATTTTCTACTGGAATATCAGTGTCTCTGATCTTGATTTATCCATTTTTATGTATTTTCTCCCATTTATGAATAAAAGGTATTCTTTAGGGACACCCCATGTTTCCCCATACTGTAGATTTATAGGATATAGGTAGCACTACCTATGACAAAACACCGACTAAATTCGAAAGAATTTCCTCGTGGGCAACTTTGCATAGCTGACTGCAGCAAGTGCAGGAAATGTGCACGTAACCGCCACATAGTGCGGGTGCACGCAGAACACCATGCGTTCGGCACGCGTAAGGTGGGCGCGCAACAAAACACAACAGACTGCCAGAGCGAGGGTGTACGCAATGTAGACCTGCGCTCATACAGTTATGCTATGGTGGTTACGCCACTCCTGCAAGTTTAAACGTGAAACTTGAAAGTACAGTACATAGATTCTTGAAACCAGTCGGTGTTATGGAACGTGACATCGTCTGCGACAATTTGCATAGGTTTGATATCAGACAACTTATTTTCCGCGTGGTATTTCACTCATTCCTGTTCGTGGAAGAGAGTAGTGCGCATGATGGCTGTCCACTGATGGGGCATAAATATCGCAGATGCAGCAGGGACTTGCCTGAACATGTGGAGAAATGGACGTTCGTCAAGCGCACTCTACGCGTACCGGAACATCTTGTGGCGCCACTGGCTAGAGTATTGTCGCAAAAGTTTGCAGGTTGCAGTGATGTTGGTTCCGCCAAAGCGGAGGGTGTGGAGGTTGCGGACGGGTGGTGTGGTGTGGTGTATATTCAGCGTCGATGGTATGCTGAAGCCGCAACCAACGATACGAGTTTGAAATACGAACAGGTATGACGAGATGTTCTGCGATACAATATGCCAAGACCGACGTATGATAATGTCTAATTAAAAATGTTTTAATTGTTATTAATGTGGCGTACGAGTGTTGTGCTGTCTGTTCTGTTTTTCATTTTACGCCCACATCCTGTTTTCCCAGCGCCAGCATGGCACCGATCGGTGTTAGAGTTCATCGCTGCTTGCACCGCAGCTCATTTCAGTTTTGCCAAGCTAGCGTGCAGTTGCAAACTTTTCTTTACCGCCCGCCACACCCGACTTGTTTTGTGTTCTGTTATTTGTCTAAAGCCAAATAAAGGGGGTTTGAGGTGCAGGGAAAGGAAACCGGCAAGCGCACACACCGGCAGGTGCGCAGGCGCGCACATACCAGGTGCGCAGCCGGAGCTCCACCGATTCCCAGCCGAGAACTTCCACATGCCCACTTCGCTCTCCCACCATGGTAAAAGATACATGAGTAGCAACACATTAATGTGATTTTGCAGGAAAGTCTTATTCTTATCTGATTCTGTGGTACATGTAATTATTATATGGCAAGTGATAATTTGATTTTGCAGGATAGTCTTAATAAATTGCACAGCGCGTTGATTGCTTCCGCTAAACGACTGCGGGAACCGCTAGCTGACACGTCACCAGTGGAGGCGTTCGCTGTGCTGCCAACGGAATTGTGGACGGAAGTTTTCTCCTGCCTGGACACGGTAACGCAGACCAAACTGCGCCGTGTGTGCCCAACATGGAACGCCATCCTGGATTCACCATATTTGATGGGGAATCTTGTTTTCGACACCCTGGCACTCACGCGGGATTCTCGTTCTGGCAATCATGCAGCGTATTTTATCATCTCAGCTCTCTTCAAGTTCCTCACTCGGTCCACGCAACACCTTCTTCTGGCTGACCGAAAGCGGCGATTGGGTGAAATGGGAGTCCAGAAAGTGCTGCACATTTTTAACTTCATTACTCAGCGCAGTAATGGAATTCGGGTGAAAGCCATCGTCTTAGTGGGGCTGGAGTTGTGTCTGGTGCGACATACGTGTAACGCTCGCCAGAACCTGGAATGCCCGCTTCATCCACCGCTTTCCGGTGACAGTGACACCAGTTTCGCGGGACAAAACGCGATTGCAGTATGGCGTAATCTTGCTTGCGGTAGTATTCGCCTGAAACAGTGCACCATGACGTTGAAATGCCAGGTGCGAAACTGGGGTTAACTGATGCGCGCGACCGCTGTTCTCGTGCATCGCCAACGCCTTACCGGGGATTTCGGCAACGCGCTGTGGAGTGCCCTGGAAGCGCAGTTGCCAGCGCCGGATGACGCCGAACTGCGTCGCGTGTCTACGTGGCTGGCAACTTTCCCAGCACACGGCCAGCTGACGGAAAAGGCGAGGGAATCTGTTGCCGAGATCTGCAAGGTAGGACCGACACTCTGCCACGGCTCAGCCGCGTGTTGCGTTGCGAGTGCACTCAGTGCATGTAAATGATCTCTAGATTTAGTCAGGTCGAATAATTACGAATTGTTGCAATTATGATCAGTAAATGTTGAATAATAATATAGAAATCTATATTAACGGTGTGAGTTAGTTGGTAAACTAATGACAAATGAAGATTTCGCAGTAAAACAAACTACTACTTAGCTATAATCCTGAAAGCTAACGTAACAACCCGGAACGGTCGAGGGACAATTTGGTTTTCTCTTTTTTCACAGACTTTATGCGCGACGCAGTCGGCGGATCCGCTTCCATCGCTGCATTACCGCGGGAAGAAGTGGTGCGTGGATGGTTTGCAGGATTTGCAAGTGGAGAAACTGTCGCGTATCGCGTTTTATGTCCTCGAGCGTCTAAACTCCGGAGAAGCGTCTAGTGCTTCGCGCTAGGCGCCGCATAAATGCTTCGCACGGAGTATATGTTCGTCCTGTTTGAAAATCATTGTGCTCTTTTTATCTAAACTGCGTGTGTGAATTTTGTCCCGCATTTAGCCAGAGTGCAGAAATAATTACGCGCTCTTGAATGAACCTGGTTTTCTGTACTTTTCTTGTGTTCATAACCCCGCAGGTGGCTGGTTTTAATCAACCCAAGTCATACGTGTGACGATTTAATGTCGGAATACGGCTACCGCCTTTTGAAGAGAGTTACTGCAGTATGCTTTTATTTAAGTAATAATCACAGTTGAATAAATTTTAAAGCCGGCTGGCCTGCTGAAAAAGGATAAACGATTCAACCATTCCGCTTCATTACTAATGACCCTTAAACCTGGATTAAGCAGGATACAATGAAGGATACGGTGGGATACTCCGATGCTGGGTACATCCCTTAGTGTGTATCTGCACGTACTGCAAATATTGTTAATGTGGTCATTCTTTTTAATTAACGTATCCCATAGTATTCCCACGATATACTTTGCGTATCCTCCATGTATCCCATTATTATGTTTTCTTAGTGTTCTTAGGTTTTTTTAGGTTTCTTAGGTTTTTTAACGGGGTTCATGTAGGATACATAGAGGATACGGCAGAGATACGGAGAGATACGGCAACAATTGAACGGAAGTAAAAAAATTATAAGGACACATGATTGAAATTGAAATTGTAAGGATACGTAGAGGATACCGTGGGATACGGCGGAATATTGTGGGTACAACTGTACAAGCAAAAAAAATGTCTCGAGAAATTTAACGTGTACGAAGTCGTCTGATTCTATCAGTCAATCCGAAATCCGGATATAATTCCGAATCCAGTTAGAGGATACGTAAAACTCTACCGGAATCTGGACTCTGGATTAACGTGCTACCGGCAGCTTGTCTGGACAACCTACGCGATAATAGTACGTTTCAAATAGGCTTAGCATTGCGCTTGGCAGTGCCGATCGTCACGTCGCATACTGGTGTCTGTGGTGAACCCGTCGATGAACTCGGCAGGCATGATTTACACTGCTCTTACAGTAAATATGTTTTTGTCTGCCAGTCGCAGTCGCTTATTTGAATAGAAGTTACCGCACAGTACTGCATCGAATAACGTAAGTAATTATCGTTTCTTCATATTTACTAAGAACTTGTAATCCGTGTACGGGTATGCAAGTATGCACCGCCTGCTTTCGTTACGATATGGGACATCTTTTGGTTTATGTTTTCGTTCAATGCGCCGATGTGCGATTTAGGTTGTTTGCAGAACCTTTTTTTGACTTTTTCCGCCAAATGTTTTTGTAACTGCGCTGCGTCGCACCTTTGCCTTTCAGTTCACAAACTTATGTCATAAAATGCGAGGCAGTGTTACGTTAAAACAGAATCCATGAAAACCAGAGGAATCGCTAGAAGCGGCAAAGGACACCCAGGCAGCACAACTCGACCTGCCAGCAAGAACCGCCACAGACACTTGCGGTTACAAAAGTGCAAACGATTAAACAATCTACATTAAAAAAACACCCAACAGGAAAAAAAACTTTCTAAGAAAATCCGACGACGATGGCCTTGATGGGTCAAATCATTGGGAAGAACTGAGGCAATGGATAATGAGCAAATGCAGAGCCGTACGCGACAGTTTCTCCAATCGCAGATCCTGCAGTCCATCCGCGCACCAGCGCTTCCCGCGGTAATTCGTCGACGGCCGCGGATCCACGGTTTGCGTCGCGCACAACACCTACACATAATGGAAAGTTGGAAACTGACTTGCCGATCGATGAAACAGAACGACATAACACAGTAGCCATTTCATTGCCAGTTGAACAACTTATATTGTATTTTATGTTCCCTTCCACTAAATTGTCTTCCTGTATTGTTCTAAACCTAAATATCCAAGTGTTTATCAGTTCACGCTCTTAATGGTGAGTTCTTAATGGAGAGAAGGTAATCGCCAGACAAACACGGCTACTTACTTGGCAAACGGTCTTCCGCAGTTCAAAATCCTCATCATCCTCCTCCACCGAAGTGCTGGCAGACTGCAGCAACTCTGCAAGCTCCTGCAGCTGGTCGTCGCCAGGCACCGGCAGCGTGGCCTCCACGGCGTCCCACAGCGCGCCCGGCCACTCGCCGCTCAACGGCAGACGCGCGTCCACTGGCTGCGTGGCCACCGTGTCTTGCCACGATACCGCGACGTCGACGCTGCAGCGGACCAGATGGAGGGCATCGCACGGCAGAGACCCCCAAGGGGCCAGAAAATCCTCCTCCTGCTCCGGGTCCTGCAGCTCCGGATGGTGCACACCTCATTGTTCACGTCGCGCGACGCTCCAGTACCAGTCCGGTGAGCCCAGTACCGGCAGAACCTGCGTTCCGCCCACCACATATAGCGCCGTCAGATGGATCCGGTTCTGGGCCCGTAGCACCGTGAAGGCCATCACCTCGGCCACGGCCAGGAAGTCTTTCAGGTCGAAGTGATAGTCGCGGGCGATTATGAGCAGGCGCTTAGTGGAGCGACTGAGGCAGTAGAAGATGGGTGCCGCCAGGGTGAAGTGGTGGTTATAAGACTTGTCCTTCATGGCTTCGCCGCCCGTCTCGATGATGATGTTGGCCGTCAAGGTCGGCGTTGTGAGGAGAGCGTTCCACGCTGGGCAGACCGCGCGCAGCTGCGTCTGCGTCGCCGTGTCCAGATGTGCCAGCACCTCCTGCCACGTGTCCGCCGTCAAGACCCAACTGGCTTCCGTCTCCTCGCCGTTCATCATCGCATTTCGCAAGATGTGGGTCAGCCATAGGTAGTGCTACCTAAATCCTATAATCTACAATATGGGGAAACATGGGGTGTCCCTAAATAATACCTTTTATTCATAAATGGGAGAAAATACATAAAAATGGATAAATCCAGATCAGAGACACTGATAATCCAGCCTAAAATCCATTAACAGGAGCATTTCTATAGCTAATCGCCATCACGGGCGGCTACAGTATACACCGTGACACATGCCCCTCCTCCCAACAAGGGCTGCCCTCAGCCCGTAAGAAAACAAAGCACAAAAGAGTATTACATGCTCTTAAACAAAAACAAAACAACCAAATAGTTACTCGCTTGGTCGAGCTTTTGCGTCCTACTGGCGTCCTCCGAAGAAGGTGACTGGAAGCAGGAAGGTGTCAAGGGCCTCTGGTGGCCCTTTTACGCTGCCGTGTTAGAAGGCATCTTGTCAGGATCCTTCCATACCCTACTCCGTGCAGGCACAGTGGCCACATCTGCCATGAGCGGCGCAGGATTCACCCGCATCACCGTCCAGCATCCAAGGAGGAGGCGGTTCCATTCCGCCTTCGCCTCCTCCGAAATCGGAGGGC